TCCTCCTCCTCCTCCTCCTCCTCCTCCTCCTCCTCCTCCTCCTCCTCCTCCTCCTCCTCCTCCTCCTCCTCCTCCTCCTCCTCCTCCTCCTCCTCCTCCTCCTCCTCCTCCTCCTCTTTCTCCTCCTCCTGGACCTCCTCCTCCCCCTCGCCCGCCGCCGACCAGCGGCCTGGTGCTGCCGGGCTGCCAGGAGGACGTCATGCAGCTGATCGCAGAGCGGCTGCACGTGCGGGCGGCCCTTCGCCAGGGGCCCAGGGCTCCTCCGATTCGATTTGGATTTCGATTTTCGATGGCTTTCGATTTCGATTCGGTTCGATTGCGCCGGCTCCTCCGATTCGACTCGATTCGATTTCGATGGCTTTCGACTCCGTTTCGGTTCGGCTTCGGCTGCCGATCTGGGCTCCGATTTCTCCATGGAGGCCCACCAGCCTGCCGATGTCCGCCGATGCGACGTTTCCCGACTCGGCTGCCGATTTCCGCCGATCCGATTCACGTCGATCGCCGATCGGATTTGCCGATTCGATTCTGGGCTCTCCTGCCCCTCGCCAGAGTGATTTCTGGTGCGGGCCCACCCAGGGCCCCCCGAGCGTGGAGTGCCATGCGGTGTCAGCGGCCTGCGCGCTCGGGTTCGGCTTCCTCCCCCGCATCCCACCAAAGGCCGCGCGCCCAAAGAGGCCACTCCTGCGCAGGGCCGCCCCGTGCGTGCAGCTGAGCAGAGATGGAGTACCTGGCGCTGGTGCGCCCCCCGCGACCCGAGGTTGATGGGCCTGTTTGCCACCACCACCATCACCACCAGAAGTTGGAGGGGGGAAGGAGGAGAAGGACGAGGAGGAGGAGGAGGAGGAGGAGGAGGAGGAGGAGGAGGAGGAGGAGGAGGAGGAGGGGAGGAGGAGGAGGAGGAGGATGACCCCCTCCCCCTCCAACTTCTGGTGGTGGTGGTGGTGGTGGAAAACAGGCACATCAGAGGTGGCCGCGCTCGTCGAGGGGCACATGGCGCCCCTGCGGCGCCTGCGGGCTGCCGGAGGCGACGGGGCCTGGTGGCGCGCCGCGGCTGTGGTCGACCTGGCCGCGGGGGCCCTCCAGGAGGCCTGCTTCTGCGTGCTTGACGGCTTCCTGCCGCCGCAGCTCGCCGAGCAGCTGGCAGAGGGCGTCTGGGGCTCCCGGCCGGTGGGCCCGGTGGGCGCCGAGGGCAAGAACGGCTGGACCCGGGGCGGCACGGCCCGTGCAGCAGAGGCAATCCAGTCTGGAGGCGGCCTGGAGGAGCGGAACGAGCGCCTGGCGAGGGCGCTCCTGAACCCCAGCCGCGGCGACGTCGCCCTCTTCTCGGACGGCGATCACCACCTGCCGGGGACCTGTGCGCTCTGCGCGGCGGTGGACGAGCTGGTGGACGCCCTGGGCAGTTGCCCAGCGATCGCCCAGCGCCTCGCCCACACGGACTTTGCCAACAGCGCGATGTTCACGGTCTACCCGGGGGGCGCGTCGCGGTACATCAAGCACACGGACAATTCGGCGCTCACGGACGGCAGGCGCTTGACCGCGATATTGTATTTGAACAAGGTCTGGGAGCCTTCTCACGGCGGCCAGCTGCGCATCTTCGAGCCGACCATGCAGAGCGTTCAGTTCAAGGCGGACATCGAGCCCCTGTTCAATCGCCTCGTCTTGTTCTGGTCCACGGAGGAGGTCCCGCACGAGGTGCTCCCGAGCTACCGCGAGCGAGCCGCAGTGAGCATCTGGTACTGCTGCGCCCGGGAGTGCCTGCAGACCGAGGAGGCGTTCAAGCGCCTCGCCTGCCGGGCCCGCTGCATTGCGGGGCGGTCCCGCGCGGATCGCCTGGAGGCGGCGGGCTGGACGCCGGAACAGCGGCGGCTGCTGCGCCTGCTCGGGGAGCCGCCCTCCCCGGGCGCGGCGCCGGAGGAGAGCGCCGCGGGGCGCGAGCGCGAGGCCGTGCGGGCGGCCGTCCTCCACGACTTCGGCGGCTGCGAGGCGCACCGGCGGCAGCGCGAGCGGCTGAGCCGCCTCTTCGGCTGGGACGCGCGCGCCGCGGAGGCGCAGCGCCAGGCCTCGGAGGCCCAGCGGCAGCAGCGGGGCCTCTTCGAGGCCCTGGGCCTGCCCTTGCCCGCCCCGCTGGAGGCGCCCGCGCCGCGGGTGCCGCAGACCTCGGCGCCCGCCCTCGCCGAGGAGCTCTGCAGACGGAGCGCAGGGGGAGGAGCAGTGGCAGAGGCTTAAAATCGACTAGACGTAAGAGTGACCTTTCGCCAGAGTGACCTTTGGTGCGGGCATAAATTGGTCCCCAGATCGCCGAACGCGATGCAGTAGCAGCGTCTTGCGCGGTTGTGCTCGGTCCCCCAGCGGCCCCCCAAAAACCGCGCACCAAAAGTCACTCTTACCCAGGGTCACTCTTGCGTGTAGCCGATAAAAACTCGGAGGTCCGCCCCGGATCTCTCGGAGCGGCGCTCGGGGCCCCTCTCCCCGGCGCGCGGGGGTGGCGCCGCCGAGGGGCCCCATGCGCCGAGGCGAGGAATCTGCACGAGCCTCCGGGCTTTTGTGTTTCTGTCTTAGTCGGGCTCGTCTCTCGACAGGAGGAATCTCCCAAAACAGTCAAACAACATATAGTCAGGGAACGATTTGTTGACCCTTTTGGGGCATTCTAGCCTTCATTTTTCGCCCCAAGATCCCCCCGCAGAGGGGGACACGCCCGACCTGAGCTTACAGCGAGCGGCTTGAATAAGGTACACTTTTTTTTGAAAAGGCGCTCGGTCGTTCCTTAGGCATGCATGCGTTACTCCAGCGTTTCTTCTGCGTTATGCTGTATGTGCCTCGTTCCTGATGCGCTCTGCCCTGGGGAAAAAAGGGCTTCGTGCCTTATGAATCGTTCCCTTAGGTCAGGCCGATGACTGTATGCCGCTGTTCCTTCCCCTGGAGCGGCGAGGGGCGGCACCGGGCCCCCGCGGAGCCCGCCCCGCGCGCGCCGGCCGCCGCGCGCGCCCCCGCCGGGGCGCCGCGGGGCCCCGCCGCGCAGGCCGCCGCGCCTCGGCGCGCCGGCGGCCTGCCCGCAGGGTCATGTCGGGCGTGCCCCCCTATGACAGGGGGATTTTCGACGAAAAATAAAGCATGCCCCAAAAATACCCCCAGAAGTTAAGAATATATTAGAGAAATCGTAGCCAGACTATTTTTGGACTACGTTTTGATTATTTTTGGGGTGTCTCTTATTTTTCGTAGAAAATCCCCTGTAGGGGGACAGGCCCGACTTAGCCGCATGGCTGCCGGACTGGTACGAGGCAGTGGACTGAGCCTCAGGGTCGGGCAGGTCCTCCGGCGTGGGTGCGGAAAGAATGCGCACGAAGGTCGGGCCGGACGAAAGGGGGGGATTGGGAAAGGGGGGGGTGCGAAATCTGCTGCACACAGCCGGTTTCGGCCCCACCGAGGGGCCCATGACCTCGAGGCATGGCCCATTCTCCGGCGCCGGGAGGCGCCGGGAAAATCAGCTGCGTGAGCTGACTCTCAACCCCCCCGCTTTGTTATCCCCCCCTTTTGCCCGTCCCGATGAGCCTCAGGTCGGGCAGGTCCTCCGGCGTGGGTGCGGAAAGAAGGCGTGCGAAGGCCGGCAGCACTCTGAGCGTTTCCCAATATACGCGTGCCCAGGAGCTCTCCAGAAGGACCTTTGGAAGCTCTCTCTAGAGGTCCTTCCAGAGTGCTTCGCCAGGCCTCTCCAGGCCGTTCGGGCGCCCTGCTATCTGAGTCTTGAACTACACAAGTATTCGAATATTGTTCAAAAATAATTCAAAAATATTATGGGGACGATGTTTTTGAGCATGTTTTGTCTGTTTTGATGTATTTGTTGGGACATTGTCAAGTTTTCGTCCAGAATTCCCCTGTAGGGGGACATGCCCGACCTAAGCCTCAGGTCGGGCAGGTCCTCCGACAGGCGGATTTTTCTAGGCCGGGCCTGGTTAGGTCGGGCCTGTCCCTATGCAGGAGGAGTTCCTGGCTACCTCTTGGAGAGCTAGAGGGGTTTCAGATTCAGAAGCCAGAGCCGCAGAGTAGCCGCCTGAGATCCTTCCTACGGCGGTCCAGGCTCCCCGGCGCGATGTGCTTGAGCTCGCAGCGGGTCCCGAAGGTCCTGTTCTGAACGTTCCCCAATGCGCGTGCCCATCTCCAGAGGGACCTTCGGAAGCTCTCTCCAGGTCCTTCCAGAGTGCTTCGCCAGGCCTTTCCACGCCGCTCGGGCGCCCTGCGATGTGGGTTTTTAGCTGCACAAGTATTCGAACATTGTTCAAAAATAGTATGGGGATGAGGTTTTGAGCATTTTTGGGCTGTTTTGGTTTATTTGTTGGGACATTGTCAATTTTTCATCCAGAATCCCCCTGTAGGGGGACATGCCTGACCTAAGCCTCAGGTCGGGCAGGTCCTCCGACAGGCGGATTTTTCTAGGCCTCCTGGATGGGGTCGGAGTAGATGGGGTCGGAGGATCGCGCCGCCGGCGATGCGGCTCAATGCGGATTTCGATTTCCTCCACGCTGGCGTCGCCGATGCATCGCCGATGTCGCCGATGCATCGGCGATGTATTGACGATCTATCGGCGATGCGGCGAGATCCTCCGGCCCCATCTACTCGGACCCCATCTAGAATTATGATGTTCCAACCTACTTTAGCCTTGATCACCAGAAAGAATTTCGAGCATCATAAACGGACCCAAACTCGAGGGTTTCCACGTCGGGCCCTCGGAGGCACTCGTCCGACACTGTTTCGACATTTTTCCGGGGGCTCGAAATTATTTCTGGGATGTGGTCCTTAAGTACGATGGGAGCAACATAAGCCTCAGGTCGGGCAGGTCCTCCGACAGGCGGATTTTGGAAGAACGCTTTTGTAAGAAACACACAGTGAGCAAACATGATCAACGGATCACGAGAGATCGTGGCCACACTATGCTTTGCCGTTGCCAGAAAACGCCACACACATAAACTTTTGGCGCTCCGCGCGGATTTCGTGGATCCGCGCTGGGCCCCCCTTGGCGGCACCTCGGGCGCCAGGGATGGGGGTCCAGCGCAGGTCCAAGAAATCCGCGCGGAGCGCCAAAAGTTTATGTTTATGTTTTTTTTCTGCTTCAATTTGGAAGCACGTTTTTTGTTTTTCTTTTTATAAATTTAAATTTCGCTTTATAAGCACACAATGAGCAAGCATGATCAACAGAGCACGAGAAGTCGTGGCCAGACTACTTGTTGCGCCATCTCTGAACATCTTCTCCCTGTGGAGGGACATGGCCCGACCTGGCCTGAGCCCAGGGAAAACGAGAAGCGCCCTGCGTCTGCACCGCCTCGCTGCGCTCCGGCGCCATCCTGCGGCACCCGCCGCGCGGCGGGTGCCGCACGATGGCGGCGGGTCCTCGGCGCCTGCCGCGCGGAGGGGGCTCGGCGCCGTGGAGGCCCCAGGGTTATGTCGGGCCTGTCCCCCTACAGGGGGATTTTCGACGAAAAGTAAAAAATACTACAAAAATGCCCCAAAAGGATCAACAAATACTTAAAAAATTGTCCCCAGACTATTTTTGGACTATCTTTTGATTATTTTTGGGGGTATCTTTTGTTTTTCGTCGAAAATCCTCCTGTAGGGGGACAGGCCCGACGAAACCCCAGGGGTGCACGCAGCCCTCTGCCCCGAGCGGCGCGGGGCCGACCGGCAGGCGAGACGAAGGGCGGATGGGGGTACAGTGCCGGTGTTAGTACATGCTCCGCGTGCGGATCCTGTATTAAAATGCATGGATTTAGCATTAAAAGCAACGAGGAGTTCATGCATAAATTCATTCATAAATTAATCATGTATTCAAAATCATATATTATTTAAAAAATCCTAAGTATTAAAAACTGCCCTGTAGGCTTGCTTCGGACGTTCTGGGGCCACTTCGGCGCCTCGAGGGGCGCCTCGGGAGGTGCTCCGCCCCTCCGGGCGTCTTCGAGTGGCCGACCTCCGAGCCCCATGTGGGCCCTCTTCGAGTGGCCGACATCGCTCGACGGAATCCCGTCGTCGGATGTCTCGGCTCCTCCGCCCCCCACTCTCTCGGGGGTGGACAGACCCCCCACCATGACACGTCGATTCGTGAATTGTCCGTTTTCGGTTCTCGAGAGGGCGCCGCGGCCGTTATTTTCCAGACTTGCGCCCGCCAGGTTTGGGCCCGAGGTCGTTTTCACTAAACCACGTTTTACTAAAGGGGGTTCTGTCCATCCCCGACTCTCCTCCTCCGGGCCCGACTTCGAAGAATAGAGAACGCCATGAACATAAACTTCTGGCGCTCCGCGCGCATTCCTTGGATCCGCGCGGGAGGCCCCCCTTCTTGCGGCGCCTCGGGCGCCCTCCCTGGCGCGCAGGTCCAAGAAATCCACGCGGAGCGCCAAACGTTTGTGTCTATGGCGACTTTTCTTCTTCTACGCTCTCCTCCAGGCCCGATTCCGATCCGATCCGAGTTCGATGTGCCCCCACCGATGCTGCAACGCCAGTGTTGCAACCCAATGCTGCAACCCATATCGGGCCCCCGCGTCCCTCAAGATGGTCGGCTATTACAGCGCTTGCTGGCCCACCGCTTCTGGTTCTCGTCCCAGTGCTTTTCTGTTTCCCGATTTCGGTCACGATTTGATTTAAGTCGGGCGTGTCCCTCTATAGGAGGAATATTCAAAAATAGTATGGGGACGATTTTCTACCAGTTTTGAAATTTTTAGGACATGTTTTGACAATGTTTTTTTCGTCCAAATCCCCCTGTAGGTGGACATGCCCGACCTAAGATTAGATGCGCGGATGCCGATTCTGGTTCCGATCCGGCGTTCCCCAGTCCTACCGAGTGCAGTTCTCGTTCCCGTGCCTCATGCGAGGGAGGGAGTTTCTGGAGGAGAAAAAACACACACACAGACATAATGAATCGTCGATTCCCCAGAAAATATGGGAAACTATGGGAAGGGGGGGGGGAAGACAAAAACCAAGAAAATATTCGAAAATTTCGGGAACCCTGTTATTTGCGTGTATTCATTTGTGTGTCCCAGGGCCCCTTCAGAGGTGAGAGGCAGGAGGAAGGAAGGGCTGGGGGCAGATGGGAGGCAGGAGGTAGGAGGGGAGGCAGTCGGAACAGATGGGCGAGGAGGAGTGGGGGCCCAGGACCAGGGCGTCTGCCACTGGGGGGGTCACAAACCGGGGGTGTCCCAGACCGGGGGGTGGGTCCCAGACAAGGGGGGGTCTGCTGATAC